ATTTGACCTTGCTGATTCTTGGCAAAATTTTCAGGAGTGTTTTAGTGATTAAGGTCCTAAGTCCCATTTTCACTAAGGGCCAGATGTTCAATGCACTAAAAGCTATGGGAGTTAGGTACCCAGCTTGCTTTGGCACTTTTGAAAAGTCCACTGGGTGCCCATCTGCATCTTCATACACCTACATTCCTTTGAAAATCTGGCCTTAATGAACTTAAGTTCCTAAAATGTGTTTGAAAATAGGACTTAGGCTTCTAAGTTACTCAGGGTACATCTACACTAGCCCCCTAGATTGATCTAGGGAGGCTAATGAGGGTGACCGGAATTGCAAATCAAGCCCAGGATTTAAATATCCCGCGCTTGATTTGCATGTTCCCGGCCAGTCGCCATTTTAGAAATTGACTAGCCCGAAGTAATTGCCCGCGTCTACACGTGGCAGTGAAACGGGATTCCAGAATAAAGCCCCTAAATTGAATTAAGTGGTAAACCTCATTCCACAAAGAATACGAAGATACTGGACTGAACCTCAAGTATGTGAGTTGAATTCTTAGCTCTGCCATGCATCTTTGGTAAGTAACTTAAGTTCTCTGTGCATTATTTCCCCATCTCTAAAATAGGGATAACTATATTTCCCGCTGATGTAATCTACCGGGACTATAAAGATCTTTGAGATAGGGAGGGGCTGTCTTGGACTATGTGTTTATTCCATGCCTAACACAATGGGACTTTTAGGCACTACTATAATACAAATAAAATAATAATAAGCCCTCAGTCCTGGAGCAGGATTTGCAGTGGAGTCAATGAAATTCCATCTGTGGAATGCTAATGGGATATGGTCCCCACATGTATGTTTGCTGAAGCCTTTCTCCAGTGTTCCTTCCCTACAGCTGCTAACTCAATTGCAGTATCTGTGTTCTAGTGCAAAGCACAGCCCCATGCTTCCCTCTTGGATCTGGTCCAGCACAGATGTACACAATTGTTCAAAGCCCCAATGCTGAACCTAGGATCTGCAGCACATGAACTAGACCATTTAATTACTCAAGCCAGCATGCAAAATTTCATCTGTTAAAAGCCAGAGTGTGCAAAAAGCCTTATGTCTCATTACTTCCCAAACCAGTTAAATAAGTACTCAAAGGGGAAAAAATAAGCATTGCAGAGAAAAAAAGCAGATCTAGATGAGTAATTTGTAAGGGATTGCTTATTCAATTAATTATGCTTTTTTTTTTTTTTTTTTTTTACTGTTCACTGAGTGAACAGATTGTGATCTTCAACAAATTTGCTATTTAAAATTGTTGATCAAATACTCCCTTGGTTTGCACTGAAATGGAAACGATTTTGATTAGACATGTGGTACTAGGAATATTTGTATTACAGTAGCTTGCAGAGCCTTGAGCCAGGAACAAATCTTGAGTGCTGTACAAATGAAGTCCCTGCCCCAAAGAGCTTGTGGGCCTGGTACCAGTAGGTTCTGTTCCATGGCTGGATGTGATTGGCTTTAGCGTGATTACAAATTTGAAATTCACTATCTTCCAACAAGCCCTCAAAAATTGCTCTGTCAAGGAAGATTCCCTTGAATAAACTTATTAGAGGTGGAATTCAGCCTTGTGTAGAAGGCCAACACAGGCTCAAAGCACCACCTGAATCCTCCTTAAGTCTCCCTGATGCCCAAAGAGCTTATGTGATGCACAGACCTTGTGCTGTTCACGTGGACAAGGATGAATTTCAGCCTAGAATATTTGCAGAAAGCTAGTGCGATGGGGGAAAACACATGTGGGAAGTGGATTTATTTGAGAGGCTAATTATTAATAGAGGCCAGAGCACATGACTTATGAGGAGAGGTTGAAGGATTCAGGCTTAGTTAGTCTATAGAAGAGAATAGTGAGGGGGCATTTGATAACAGCCTTCAACTATCTCAAGAGGGATTCCAAAGAGGATGGAGAAAGAGGCTGTTCTCAGTGGAGAAAGATGGCAGAATGAAGAGCAATGGTCTCAAGTTGCATTGAGAAAGGTCTAGGTTGGGCATTAAGAAAGACTATTTCCTTACGAGGTGCAGAAGCACTGGGACAGGTTCCCTAGGGAGGTGGAAGAATCTCCATCCCTAGAGGTGTTTAAGTCTCTGCTTGACAAAGCCCTGGCTGGGATGATTTTGTTGGGGTTGGTCCTGCTTTTAGCATGGGTTGGACTCGATGATTCCTGTAATCTGTTCCACACCTATGATTCTATTCTATTTTTTTCTCAGTATTCTTCCAGCACTGGCACAAACCCTAGAAGCATAGGAAGATTTCACACCCTTTTTCCATACTGAAATGCTGCTAGGTTGCTCTGTCTGTTACTAAGCAAATATGTTTTAACAGCACATAGTTTGAACACAAGAGAGGATCTTTGTGAAGTGAAAAATACCCAGCATTTAACTCTTGCAGGGACTCCGGAGCTACCGAGGGCCCCCAAACCCCTTTTGGTTCTGCTGAGGTTGGCGACAGGAAGCTGTGTAGCTTTGTGTGTTGACTCCTCTTTTGGCCCCCTGGGTGAGCTGGTGTTCTCCACAGGAACCTGGGGTCATGTACAGTGGGGGAAGCAGCGGAACTGATCCAGTGGAATGGACGCCTCGTGGATCCATTGTGAACTATGTGATGTCCCACATGGGATGTTCCACATGAAACTGTGTCCTGCTCTGTTCTCTTATGTCTACACTTCCGAGTCAGGCCTTCAATATGTGCCTATTGTCTCGGATGAACACGGATTCAAGGTGGCTAGTCCCACCTGTACCACCAGGGCTACACTCAGTAGTGTATTACCTTAGTAAAAGCTAGAAGTGCAGAGCTACCACCTGCTCCAACCTTGGCTAACAGATCTGGCTTTGGCAGCAGGGGCACATGCTTTTAGAACCAGTGATCCCAGATTCAATCAGCCAAATGACCTACCCAGGGCCATGGCAATGACATTAAGCCTTATATATTTTTAGTGTGTCACTACATTTGTCATTTATAATGTGGCTGTACCTAGAAACTTGATTATGAAAATCTCAGCCTCTGTCTCCTCCCTTTACACTTGCAGCAAAATGAGCATTTGGATAAAAGCCGCCTTCTGGGAAACAGCAATCCTGTGGGAATAATCCCTATAGCATGCTCTGTTCTGCTTATAAACCCTGCACTTTGGGAATCCCGACCTGTGCATTAGCCCATAATAGCACACCACTGGCAGCAGCACTTACCAGTCTGCTTTTATTTTTGTTTTGCTTCTTACTTACATTTGAATAACCATTTATTTGCAACATTCTCAGCAGACTGGAATACAATGCCAAGAGCCACGCTATATACTGAGTCATCCAATCCCGGCACAAAGTTTATCCGTTAAATATACTATTATGGTATCATGTGGCAGGGAAAGAACTAGCTGTTTTGACCCCAGAGCCCAAATACCCCCCTGGAAATTTGGGGAGTATTTTTGCTACCTGTTCTTTGTATTTACCATCTCCCGGCTGGTATATCTAGGCTTTTCTTTCATTTTTTATGAACCGCAACTATGAAGCAAACTTCCATTTTAGCAACGCTTTGAACTATATGGTAACCAGGTACTCAACTGAAAAATAAAACAGCAGGCTATCCAACTAGACATCACTGTCACAAAGGTAATAAACAACAAAATGGTCTGGTAGCACTTTATAGACTAACAAATAGGTAACAAAAGGTAATAGTTGTTTTAATCTTTCATATCAAGAATTCTTTCCCCCATCTAGGCTGAGTAATAAGCGAGTGCATTTCCATCCAATCCGGGTGCTTTAAGTCATTGCTTCCTCAGTATGCCAATATGCAAGCATCCCTGTTTCAGTGCTACATCCCACTTTCTATATATGGCTATAGATCAGACACACAGACACAGAGAATAAGTAGGACAATGGAAAACACACATTGGATTTTGAGTGTGTGTATGTTCTAGTGAAAGCCATAGCATCATATGAATCCACAGATGACGTCTGTCCTTATCATCATTTGCGTATCTGTGTACCCATACAGAAAAACTGTACAGAAAATAGCCCAAGTTCTGATACCTCAACTACAGAAGGAAAATCTAGGTAGATCAAGCAGTCATCCCAATTCCTCTGGTTTGTTTCACAGCCTAAAATAACCCCACTCAGCAGCCATCATTTTAACAAGGGCAGGAGGGTCATTCTACTGAGGACTGCTGCCTCATGACTTCAGCACAGCAAAGAAATATTACAAAGGACTCTTGCTAAACTGTGCACGAAAAACCCACCGGATCTTGGATTTCCAAGGGCCGGGTTTTTGAACGCTGCTTCCATTAGCTCACCTGCAAGTCCCTGACAGCGATCGGCTCAGGTGAGTGAAGCGCTAACGATTGTAACAATAAAAAGGGGATGGATACGGAACGTGGTTTCTAATTGCTCCTTGTGGAAGCCCAATTCCCTTCCTAGCGGGAGCCGAAACTTCGGAAGCAATTTCTCCCCCGGAAGGGCAGACAGGCCGGTGGACACCGGAGCATCCTTCCAGCAGCGAGGCCTGGCCCCGTTTTCACAGTCGCGTGAACACGCTGATCTGCACGTTGCAGCTCAGCCCCTACTGCTACCTGACAGCCAGATCGCGAGCCTGGCG